ATTCCCCGAAGCTGCCTCCACCAGTTTATCAATGTTTGGCATTGGATAACAATCCTTTGGACATGCGTCGTTGAGGTTAGTGTAATCGATGCACATTCGCCGTTTACCGTTTGCTTTCTTGACTAACACCGGATTGGCGACCCATTCACAGTAATCTACCCTCTTGACGAAGCCGGCTTGTAGGAGTTTCTCGACTTCTTCTTTAATAACCTTTAACCTCTCCCCCCCGAAGAGACGTCGCTTCTGTGCTACTGGTTTCTTGAGGGGATTGGTGCTGAGTTTATGTTGAAAAACTGAAGTGGGGACTCCCGGCATATCTGCTGAAGTCCATGCAAAAACATCTTTATTAGCCCGAAGAAAAGCTATTAACTCTGCTCTTTCCTCCGGGTTTAATTTAGTCCCAATTTGCGTTTTCCTGCTCGGATCTCTGTCATCAATCTGCACCTCCTCCACATCTTCGACTGGAGCAGCTCTGGTTTCATCCTCTGGTCGGTTATCTACGATTTCAACACCCATAACTTGCCGATCATCAGCAATCTGGTTGGGATTAATCTCGGGTGTCTGAGTCTTGCCCTTCTGAGGTTGTGTTACCGAGGTGATGTAGCAATGCCGGGCTACCTCCTGGTTGCCTCGCAGCGTGGCTATTCCCGTAGGAGTGGGGAACTTCATGCAGAGATGAGATTGGGAAACCACAGCTCGAATCTCAGTTAGTGTGGGTCGACCAATGACAACATTGAACGAGGACGCCATCTTGACTACCAGAAACCGGACTGAAGGGGTCACATAACTTCGGCCACTTCCAAATGCAACATTCATGGTGAGGACTCCTTCAACTGGAACTGGTTGGTTGTTGAACCCGTAAATGGGACCATCATACCGTTGCAACAGAGCTGAATCTAACCCAAGACTCTCAAAGCAATGGAAGTACATGATGTCTGGTGCACTCCCTGTGTCAACAAGGACACGCTGTACTTCACAATTGTTGATCGTGACAGAAGTGACTAGTGGATCATTGTGTGGTGTGACAACTGTCTCGAGATCAGCAGATGTGAAAGTGATGGGTTGATTCTTCCACTCAGCATCATCAAATTTCCGCTTCTGAGCTCGGTTCTGGTGCTTAACCTCTCTGACATACAGCTTTCGCTGCTTGGAACTCAGTCCACCGGCTTCCAGACCCCCCGTAATCATGTGTATGACTCTAGCTGGTGGTGGGAGTGGGGGTGGGGCCTGCTGATATCCCACACCTTGCCTGTTTGGGGGATTGCGGACTCCTTCATGCTGCGTCCCTTGTTCCCTGACAAACCGTGGCTGTTCATTTCTCTGAATGTACTCATTTAACATTCCTTTCTGCGCCAGACTTTCCAGTTCGGACCTCAGACTATTGCATTGTTCTGTTGTATGACCGTGATCTTGATGAAAATCACAGTACCTTGTATGGTCTCTGGTAGCAGCAACAGTTCTCATTGGACCCGGACGTCGTAAGTCCATTTTATTCTTAATCTGCATGAAGATTTGTGACCTCGGTAAATTAAAAGGAGTCCAATTACCTGGAGGTTTACCTGCAGGTTGTTGCGGAGGTGAGGAGTTCGGCCTCCCAAGTCGCAGGGTGGAAGTCGACATCGGACCTCGGTTCTGTGATGTCTTCATCCGCTTCCTGTTCGGATTCTCATCTCTCCAGTCCGGGTGTTGATTCTTAACAGGGGTAAGGTTCTGTGACAGGGCATATTCCTCAGCAGTTATGAATTTCAATGATCTATCATTTACCTCACTGAAGGTGGTGGCCGGATGCTTAAGCAAACTATCTCTGAATCTTTCATGGCCGAGACCTGAGATCACAGCTGTAATCCCCACAGCTTGGTCGAAAGAGTTAACCTCCAGCACAGCATCATTGAACCTGCTCATAAAATTCTTCAAAGACTCTCCGTCCCTCTGCTTAACCCGCATCAATTCGGAAGTGGTTTTCCTGATCAATCTTTTACTGGAAAACTTTGTGGCAAAAGCAGATGCCAGTTCTGTGTAAGAGTTAATTGACCTCGGAGGCAGACTGTAGTACCAGGTTCGAGCATTACCTCGGAGGGTCGAGGGGAAGATTTTTCACATTAACGCATCAGAGGCGTTCTGGGCCTGCATGCAAGAGTAGAAAGCATGTAGAGGGTCGTCGGGGTCCTTCGTCCCATCATAAGTTTCAAGTTGTGGTATTCTGAAGCCAGTGGGATAGGGCTCCAGCACAATATTGGTGTTGAGAGGGTGGGGTACGGAGTCAACAGCAGGGTATGGAGGTGGGGCACCCCGCTGTTCAACCACTAGCCTCTCTAGGCTATCTAGACGTCGAGTAACATCATCATGAGGAGGTTGCTGAACTGGTGCCATGTGAGATTGGCCCTGAGATTCACTAACAGCGGGAGCATGTTGAACTGGTTCAGGATTTGGTGGTGG